GTATGATATTCACAATGGTGTGCGTTCAAGGGGTAAAACTACCCGACGGAATTTCATTCAAGTTTATTCGTATGGTAAAATTTCGACCAAAATCTGTCCCGCCTCGATGAATGGGTCAGTAAGAGGCGACTAGTGCAAAGAAATCTTACCAGTCCGCGAAGAAATTTTACATGATTCTGCACGCGGTATAACTTTTGAATATTCTCATGTTGTACCTTTAATAGCTCCTTAACCAGTTTCAACCGATCGACCGTCTCATCCAGATCTGCCCGCATTGCATGAGCTTCCTGTAGTTGTGCTCTGATTTGAGCGCGAGCATCCGTTAATTCTGCATTGCATCGTCGAAGCTGCGATGAGAGCGACCTGTCAAAGGCAACAGGCTATACAGAGTTAGGCTACGTTCATATTTTGCGTCAGTGTACGCCAGCGCCGGCGACTAAGAAAGTGTAGATATCGATTTAGCGAGCGCCAGCGCATGATAGCGTACGCCAGTGACTAGAAAAGTATGCATATCGAACCAGCGAATGCTAGCGTACGCTGACGCAAGCCAACGCTGTCCAACGTGAAATTTTAGGAGAAAAGCAAAAGAAAAATGAATTTCAACCATTTGCAAGACATCTCGAAACCATTTTAGTACGCCTCGACAACTTGTTAAAGTAAAACAAGAAAGTAAACCCATTTCTTAAGAAGTAATCCGGATGAAAACAGCCAGACGATGTCTAAACGGAATAAGTACCAAGGCCTAAGTTACTCGAAAAATTAGCAATAATGTGCAGCTAATGAATAACACCCTGTGCAAGATGAAACCGTGTGGATCTCACTCTCACCCTTTGGCTAGCATTTTGAAAAGTGTTGAAGGAATCCCACCAGGTTATTCTTTTCTATCCAAAAATCCAGTTATTTTAAATGACCACGACACCACCTACCAAATTAAATTCCATAATGACTAGTTAACAATTGAAATGGCATAATTAGTGCCAGTATGCCCATGGTCATCATCTCAATAACATAAGAATCATTATTTTCCTAATATGTGTATGATGTCTGTCTAAATCAAATATACAGTCCCCATCTATCCCCTTAAAGGTAATGCAAAACCTACTCTATCTCAGACGAAGATTTTGCGTTCAACTGTTCATGATAGCTAGCTTTTTCTTCGGCTGCTTTCCATGCTACACGTAACCGCTCCATCTGTTCAAGTATGGTCAGCATTTCTGTAAAAAGTATAACCGCTTGAGTAATATTACTGGTAATTTCAAGGATAAGGAAAAGTGACAGACCCTGCAAGGACACTGATAAATATCCTTCTTTATTCGTAGATAAAGCACCGTATATTTGCATAACTTTGCGGGACTCATCACTCGAGTATGTCATTCCGTCAGCCATAGTCGCTCTTGCCAAACACATAGCAATTTCAATTGAGGAAATATTTCCCATTATAAAATGTTCGAAGGTAGGAGATTTGCGTCATAAAAAAGGCGCAGATCCATGGGGGGGCGGGGGCGTATTTTGCTGGTTCACATCAACCAGTGCCGATGGCTCTCCTATAAATTCCTGTAAAACTATGCAACAGCACCTCCAATCCTGACAAAAGTCTGCGGGTTTCCAAAATGTGGCGCGTAATTTAAAAGGAACTAGCGCAAGTGCAAAACGCCCTTCTCAACAAAAGCTGCTGGAAAAAAAACCTTTTTTTTTGGGCAAAAAAAAAAGTCTCAGAGCAAAGGAAAAATAAATATCCAAAATGTGACAAACTAATCAAAACAAGCCGGGGGACACCTGAGACCTGAAAAATCTTGCTGCGAGGAATGCGAACCCTCAAAACCCGATATCAGACTTTGTCACTTCAGAGGATGACCTTGAGTCGGGATCTTTTCATAAAGAAAAGAATGGTGAAGTACATTTGAAGATCTTCCAGTTAAACTGGGGATACAATATCAAAGCGAGGCGCTAGTAGGGATATCATTTTTGTATAAGAAGTGGTTTGGTATCAAGATAATCTCTTCTACCCAGTGAATCCTTCAAAGGCCCGAAGCCCTGCCCCACTGATAAACGTTCAAAAAGCCGTCCGAAGAGGTGGGAGAATTACACGCGAGTACTACCAGCAAAGGAAAAAACAATCTTCGACACATAAAGCAGAAACCTCCTTGGATATTTTACATATCAATGAAGCTATGTGACGGATAGAAAGACCAGATGAAATGAAAATAGGTATTAATAAGGTGATTGATAGATTTAGGGACGCCGAAATTGAATTTTGAACGCTCGCGGTGATAATGCGTAGACCGCGCCGCGTCGTGTCGCACCCGAAAGAAGTTTGATGGAGCGCGCAGCGTGTGGCCATTCGCTGGCTCAGCTGGTTAATCAAGTGAGTTACCTGAAGCTCTATGAAAGAGGTTCTTTCCTAGTAGTTTGTGCTGTATCGTCTTAAGAACTGGGACTTCAGCTGAGGAGATTTGAAATTCTAAGGAAATATTGTGGGAAGGATATTTGGTTGCTTTAAAATAAAAATAGGTTCACTGCATAACCACCCCTGGTCGTAGCCGTGAAAGAGCATTGTGGAAGAAAAGGAAGCGGCGTTGAATGAATCTGAAGTGAGCTGACTTCAGCTATTTCTAATCAAGTCTGATAAAAACTGACAATGACTGAGTGACTTTCATTAGTAGGCCAAAAAAAGTTCAGAAAGAAATCACCCTTTTCGCAACACAGCGGGAATGAATTCCTCTCAATTTTCTTTTTGTGTGTTTTGTTTTGTCATTTTCTTTTTGCGAATCGAAGTCACATCTATCATTGCCAGTTTTTATGGGACTAGCTGAGCACAATGGAGTTTCTTCGCTCTCATTACCTACGGTCTGGCGTGCAAGAACAGCAAAATTCGGAGAGAAGTAGCCCCTTTTGGCTTGCAAATTGAAGTGCTGCGGTTTCATTTCGTGTTCAGATGCATCCTTTGATTGAGATAGTCCTACCCGCGAACATGGACGATATACCACATTGGCAGCTCAGAAATACATGACGAAGGCGCGACTTGCTCACGACGAGACCACGAACCCGCCCAGTGGCCACAGCAACGCCCAACTTTCATTTCAAAATGTATTCTGGTGTTGCAGTTGTTCCGCTACTAGCTCTCTCTCTCCATTGAAAATTAAATTTATAGTGCAGATGATAAGCGAAAAATCAGCAGTCATCAAAACGACAATTCGCCGACCTCACGTCTTCGCCTCTGTTCACGTATGAGTGGCATTCAGCATGGCCTCAATACTGCGGCATATTCGGTCGGAGTTTTGCAGAATATATTTATATCATTACTTTTTGTTACTTCGCCAATCATGTAATAAGTATTTGTGCAGCACAACGCCACTTTGTCGGGCTGTTTTTCTGCTCCGATTCGTATCGGACGATAGTATCTGATGAAAGAAGAAATTTTGTTGGCTGTTGCTATGGGGGATCCACACTAACGCTGAAATAGTAAAATTCTGCGAAGAATAAAAATTTTGACTGTTCCTGGCATGCCCCTTATATCGAAGATTCTTCGGGAAAACTTTGTTGAAAAACCCTCATGTGCGAGAGGACTTACCTGAGGAGCACTCCTACGACATCATATGCCACATAATTTCCCAACAGAACCAACTACAGTTTTTGTTTTGCCATTTATAATTAACTCCCACGAAAAACAGGCGTCGAAATTCCCCCGATGCTCGGTCAAAAACCCTTCATTTCTCAAGTAACTCCATTAAGCTTTATGTTCAGCTATCCTATTTTGGAGGCCATACGACTCGACCGACGACGGGAATAGGCTGCCGTACCATCTTGTCTTATCAAACACTTCCGCGTCTATTTTGTCCCAAAAAGTCAATCTTAAAAGCATCTCATCTCATTACCAGTAAGTTCTGAGTATTCAATACTGTCAAATGTTACGCCGTGTCGATGACTTGTAAGAACACAAACACTCATTTCCCTATTTACATTTATCCAAACATTAAAGATCTCTTGTTTGCACTGTTTAACGAACACATTGATACAACGATATTTACTCATAACAGCACCACAGATTGTGGCCACAAAACAACGTCACAAAATTAATTGCGAGCAAGGAAATCATGGTAACGCTGGTACGGGGTCTTATCGAGCGCTTCCTCCTTCCACAGATCAGGGGTGAGGTAGGAGTAGGTACGCTGAAGGGCAGCGTAGGTGGCCTTCGCGAAGTTTCCAAGGGTGGCGGTTGATCCTGTGGCTGACGTGTAGCAATCTTGGATACCAGCCATTTGAAGCAGCTTCTTTGGAACAGGCGCTGACACAATTCCGGTACCACGAGGAGCGGGTACCAGCCGTACCATGACAGATGCACACTTTCCGGTCACTTTACAGGGAACGGTGTGGGGAAGACCGATCTTGTTACCCCAGTAACCACGTCGCACAGGGATAACAGCAAGCTTGGCGGCAATGATGGCTCCACGGATAGCGGTGGCAACTTCTTTGGAGCATTTGACTCCGAGTCCAACGTGGCCATTGTGATCTCCGATAGCGACAAAGGCCTTGAAGCGGGTACGCTGACCGGCACTGAAAAGTTATTGGATCAGTGGGCTGATAAGTAATGAGCGTGACTCTGAGAAAGCATGATAATGAAACTAACGTTGTCTGCTTCTGTACAGGGGTGATCTTGAGAACCTCATCGGTTAGCTTAGAGCACAGAGTGTCGATGATCTCGTATTCCTGAAATTGTATTCATCAAGTTGAAATGAAAGGTGCAGCACACGCACAGCTCCCAAGGGGTTCAACTTTGGTGCGTTCCAGTAAAATTATGTCCACAGAGCTTCCTAGTAATTATTAAGCTGCGTTCATACCTTAAGATTATGCCGCCGTAATCGGCGTAACTTACGTCTTCGGCGATTACTCTATTCAGGGGAGATAAGTATTGGTCCCAAGCGATTACCATACCTATCGACGTGTCGGCATACTTCCAGAAATTATAATATTATCGATTTGAGTCGTATTACGTCGATTCTTGCTATTACATGAAACGTACGATTACGTATATTAGCAGGTTAGTCGCCGAAACTAGCTCCAATACGGCGACTAATCGTAGGGTGAGCTGCCTTGAAAGGTGCGGGAGTGGGGGAGGGTGTGGGTGATTTTTTGCACCGCTGGCTGTTCCTGATTATGTTCGATTATCTCAAGTGGAGTCATTCGGCAACCAAATTGCACTAAAAAAAAAAAAAAAAAAAAAAAAAAAAAAAAAAAAAAAAAAAAAAAAAAAAAAAAAAAAAAAAAAAAAAAAAAAAAAAAAAAAAAAAAAAAAAAAAAAAAAAAAAAAAAAAAAAAAAAAAAAAAAAAAAAAGAAGAGAGATTCCATGGTTATGTGGCCTCAACAGTTTTTTTGACAAGTGTTCACAAAGTCCATCAAAACAGACTCGTAAGCGAATAGTACAGAATATAAGGCAACACGCCACTGGACCGAACACCGAAGGCTCCGAAGGACTCGAAACCAAAACAGTTGGAGGCCAGGTGGAATCAAAAATTCTTAAGAAGCCCTAGGTCTCCATGTTTTCGAATTATGAGCCAGTCTGTAACTCTGACCCAGCACTATCAAATCCAATGGGAATTAAGGAAAAAAACTAGCTGTCAGACATTTTGGTGATATACATGTTACAAAGCGCAACACATACGACCTTAAAAACGTCCCAATAATTTTGGCGGTCTTCGGCCCAAACAACACAAAGATATTGTCTGGTTCCTATCCGCCTAAGCAGTCAAAGGAGAAGGCTTAAGCCTGACTCACCTTGATGGGTAGAGAGTTGAGGTAAATCTCCTCGAGAGTTGTGATCTTTCCATCTTTCACGAGACGTCCAAGCTTCGTTACAGGAACCCACTCAGATTCCTTCTCACCTCCACGGCCAGCACTGAAAAATGGATCCTTTACGTCCAGTATTCATTTACTAGCGCAATATACCACATATTTCCGGTTTAAACTACATCCAGTACTTTTGCTGTCGTCCACGCTGGTGATATACGTGCATCAAAGAGAGACACATACGACCATTAGCGTGTACAAATAATATTGGCGGTTTTCGGCCCAATCAATGCACATGTATTAACTGGTTCCTATCCGCCCTTTTTTCAAATACGCTCTCGGAGAAAGTAAGTAGATTCTTGGAGAAATGTGTTCTTGCGTAGTAGTACGCACAAGGCTATTCTCAACGAAGGACAAACAAAAATTACCAGAATGAAAGACTGACCGTCCTCCTCGACCACCACGACCTCCACGACCACGTCCACCTCGTCCGCGGTCACCTCCGGCTCCGCGACCACCTGCGCCACTTCCAAATCCGCCACGGAAACGTCCTCGATCGGCCATATTTTATGTGATACCTCAAGCTGATACATAATATGACACTGATTCCACAGCATCGATAAATTCACGACGACGTTTGGATACGGAGAACATCACAATAGGACAATTCCCACAACAAAAACTGTGTTTTCAGCCTGAAGTTGTGTCTCATTCAGGCACACACAGCATTACCGCACCGTAAAATTCTCGAGAAATACAAAGAATAGACAAGAAAGAAGCACGACTAAACATAAATGTCCAAAGAATTTAGGAAAAAAAAGAAACTCCAGCGAGGCAGTTCGGCTGCAGAGAACGTTACCGCGCGTACGGTGGCTGAATCATCGTAGGACCGCGGGACGACCGCAGAATATGCGTCCTTTAATTTCTCCGGATTGGGGCGCGGTAAATTCGCAAAGGCCATGCTCACCGAGGTGATGCGCACTTTTTCACCGAGGTGATTGCCGCCACTTTTTATTAGGTGGATTAGCTTTGATGTATGAGCAGTAAAGCAATAAAAGTTGTGTTCTCGAAAATTAATGATGCTTCTTTCTTTTTTTCAATTTTTATCAATGGTTGTTGCTGATCATAGGGCTAACGGAAATATGTACATGTCAAAGTTACATGAACTAATAAAGCTCTCTTTGAGAAGGAAAAGTTCAGCAGAGCCAAGTGAACCAATTCTGAGTACAGTAATCATTCCACGCAAACGGTGGGGAGGGGGTGGCGTGAGGAGCATGGACTGAAACACGCCCAGTGCTGTTTTTTCTACCAGTGATACCATCCAATATCCCACAAAAACCGCATTGAACCCGTGACAGTTTGTTTGAAAAGGCAGTCCTAGCTGCGCTCCAGTCCATAAAGTAAGAAGTTGCTGAAGGGCTAACTGCTTGAAGAAGATGAGAGATGGTCCGTTTCATGCCCTTTCACACGATGCCTGATTTGCAGGGGAACGAGCTATACAGTAATCCCATCCCACAAGAGGCCGCTACTACGGATAGTCCTAGTTTTACACAAGAGGTCCTTCGATACCTCCTCCCTTCTCAGAGGTTCTTACCCCCTTTTCCACCGTGCCATTTCATTAGCCCGAGAAAGTGAAAGCTTGCTCTGAAAACTTGTGTAGGTTTCAGAGTAGTCTGGCTAGCGAGGCTTATGGCTTCGCGTATACGTCACATTCCCCTCAAACTGAGTCTGAAGCCCCTCAAATTGAGTCTGAGCAGAGCGCAGATATCAGAACAGGGCACAACCTGTCGTTGGGGAAATTTCGGAGAATACGTACCCCCTCCCCTCCTCCCCGAAATTCCCTGCTCTGGTACGACTACCTTCTCCCCCTACAGAACATTGGATGGCTGAGCGGAGGGGACGGAAACATATAGCATACATGAGATGGGGAAAACTCAGGAAAGTCAGCAACCAAGGACATTGTTCTCAAGAGCAAATAATACCCCCCCCCTCCTCCACCGACCGAACACCACCCCCTCGTTGGGGATCCCCAATTTTCGACGTGTCCCTATCCAGTATCGCCGCGGCCTAGTGAAACTATATGTGAATGTCGTTGAGATAAACGAATCCTCATTACCATTTTCTTTCAACCTTGTAGCGCATGAAGCCCTAGATCAATACTACCATCCTTTTCTTTTTATTGACTTTTTTGTCAGCCATTACCATTATTATCATAGATCATACTGATCGAGTTGGTCAGGAGTGTGTGCCGAGACAATCATGATTGGCTGCGCTGGTGGGCGTGGTGAGCGAGGCAGCGCCCGACGGACGAGTTTTCCTACCCGGCCGTTGTTTGAATTCAAGTGCTAAGGGAACGGAAGGAATTGATATCTCATGTCATGAAATCTTGTTTTTTCGTGAAGGTCCCGTTTCTTCAATCGACAAACAAGGCACGTCGAGAATTCGCCGCACATCGCCGTGGTGCGCCACGCGACCACGAGACAAATTACGATTGTTTTGTCCGCCTCCACATTTGCAGTTAGTACACAAGTAAATAGTAAACGCTAAGCGGCACTTTTTATTTTTTACCGTACATTTGTCGATAAGGATCGAAATATTGACTGAAGGAAACTTTTTGTCCATCAAGTGGTTGATTCAGGGGCAGACCGATTTCGTCGTCGACAGTGCGAGGAGGAGAGAAGACCTCTGCGAGGTTCACATAGTCGGCGTCATCGTGTGTTGTTGTGGTGTTTCCATAGAACGAACTCGCCAGGACTGGTCCTTGCT